CCCATATTTACACACAAGGAAGAGCGGGGGGTGTCAGAGCTGTGGCACTGGCTCCTGAAATCCCATTTCAGTATTTATTTCAGAGGCATTTTCCCTATTTCTGGTTTTCCATTAAGCAGCAGGGTGGGACCACACAGGGGGGGCTGCACACCAGTTGGTGGCAGCTTTGCAGAGGATGGTGGCCCTGTGACCCAGCCCCGGGGCATTTGGAGCCACTGCTCCCAGGGATGGAGGATGGGCATTCCCGGCATGTTGGCGCTGAACCGTGCAGCAATCCCCAGGGATCTCCAGCCACCTAGCCCTGGGACCAAACGATGCAGGCAAGCCCCTGGCTTGGCCCAGCTGAGCCCTGAGCCCCCTCCAGACGGAGACCCTCCACCTCTCTGCGAAGCTGTCTGCAGGAAGAAGCGTTCCCCACATCTAACCTGACCCCCCCCTGGGCTGAGATCCGGGGCTGACACACCTCGTTGCATTGCCTGTTGTTACCGAAAAGGTTTTGGCCTCATTCACCCCCTCCATCCCTGCCTGTGCTGCGGTCGGGGGCTGATCTCAAACTCCCCAGCCTCCCCACAGCCAGACCCAAGAAGACCAGATCCCTCCCATCTCCTCATGGGTCAGGTGCTCTAAGTCCTGACCTGCTGGGCAGCCACTGTGGGGTCACAGCATGGTCCCCACGTCCCTCTTGTGCAGCCCAGGATGCAGCTCCACCATCACCCTGGGGCACTTCCAGCATGACTGCCTGGCTGGTGGCTCCTGCCTGCTCCAACGCCTCAGTTGACCCCAGCACTGCCCTGCCTGCACAGTGCCACCGGTCCTTGAGGAGCTCTCAAGCGAGGAGGACAAACCCTGATGACTAAGGGATGCATGGGAAGCACCATCACCACAAGCATGCTAGGCCAGCAGGAAGGAGGGGACAGCAGGGGATGTCCCACCACCTCCTTGGGCTGCCCTGGTCGAAGGAGAGGGGCCAGGCCACTGGCATCTCCCTGGGGAGTCGCTGCTCTACCAGGACCCCTCCATCATCACCAGGATGCTGCTGTAGAGGCGCCTGGGGGCATCCAAGCCCCAGATGAAGTCCCAGTGGTTCCAGTCAGAGATGTGGACATAGGTGACGAGATGGGCGATGCGGGGCAGCAGCAGGCGGACATCCCTCCAGTCAGCCACCCAGTCCTCCCCCCCTGACCACACTGCGGTGGGCACAGGCATCTCCTCCAGCCGGTAGGAGGGAGGTGTGTCCTGGAGGGACACGGGCACCACTGAGAAACCGCTTTTGTTCAACCCCCTCGAGCCAGCCCATACCCACACACCACCCAGAACAGTCCCCTCGAGTCTCCAGCCACCAGCATTGCTGCTGCAGCTCCTACCTGGTGGTACACGGCTGCGTTTTTGCTGCCATAGTCGAAGGCTTTGAAATCTCCCGATTTCAGCACCTAGGAGGGGAGGATAGATCTGCAGTGGGCAGCCAGTGAGCACTGCTGTGTGGATCCACTATCTCCCGGCCTCCTCGAGGGACCACATCATGAGAGGATGCTCACACAGACATTGCAGGAGAAGGTGGCATCCCGAAAAAGCCAGACTGTCCACATTTTTAAACAGGGAGATGCTTTGACCTCCAGCTCCATGACTGCCCTAGCTATGGGTTGACAAGCCAAGGTGTTGCATGCAACAACTCCTTGGCAGTCCCAGTGCAACACTTGTGCCTTTGAAAACCTGCTCATGACCAGCTGTGTGCTGGAGGTCTTCATGTTGGCGAGTTTTCCTTCAACAACCTGATCATCCTTACCTTCTCATGACACTTCAGGCTCAGAGTACAGAGACTCTCAGTGAAGGGACAACCCCTGGGGTGAAGCATCTGCGTTTCAGGGAACCTACCTGGGCCCAGTGTATCACGTTTTTGACAGACGTCCCATCCGGATAGTGGGATGTGTACACATCCAGCTGTGTCTGCAAGGAAATGTATTTAAACTATTGCTGCTTTCCAGTGGACAGGAGCATGGACAGCAGTTGCCAAACCAGCCACTGCTGAGTCACACTGCCTAGAGAGTTGGGTCAGATTCAGGAATATAATTTTCATTAAATATCAGTTGCTCTGAGACAGCTCCAGGAGTAAAATGGTGATGAAGAATGGGGTACCCTTAGCTCCCAGAGATATCTCATCAGGGCTCAGGGGACTGTGCTCAAGTCCTTAGTGACTTCCCATGGTCATCCAGATGCTGTTTCAGCAGACCTGATGTAAGGTGGGTAGGAGCAGGGGCTGTGCCTCAGGGATGCTGGTGAGAGGTACACCTGGTCTTGGTGACAGGGAGCCCTAACTCGGAGATGCTGTCAAGTGCCACCTGGCCACTGGCATTCACCCAGCAGAGCCTCTCCTATCTGGGGAGGGGAAGCAGCAAGGGCAGGATCTGGCAGAAGGACACTCATTGCCCTTGCAGCATTTGCTTGCCCATGAGTGCTGAGGGCAAGCGGCTGTAACAGGCTGGACGTGCTGTTTGGCAGGGAGGGGGCAGGCAGCAGGCAGGGGGGTCAGCAGAACCAGTGGGTGCTGTCAGGGCCTCCCAAGCAGCGCACCCACCATGTTGAGGTTCTTCTCGTTGTAGCCACCCAGCAGAAAGAGGAGGTTGGCACAGGGTTTGTGCAGCAGAGGGTGCCTACACAGTTTGGGAAGAAACCTCCACAGCTTCCTCATCCGCAGCAAGGCATCCGTTCTGCCGAGCAGAAGCTGAAGAAACAAAGGTCAGGATTGTGTTTTGGCATTTCCCTTCCTGCAGCCTAGCCCTTGGACTGCCTACCCTGACCAGCCGCTGGCCAGTGTCCCCATGAGCTGTCCCACCAGCTGGGCAGTGAGGGGATGTCTGGCACCCAGTTCCTGCAGGAGTCAAACCCTTTGCCCTCCTGCCTTGCGAAGATATGTACAGCTCATTGCAGTAGGTGATGCTGATTGAATGCACACCAGGGAAGTCAGTATCTGGGACTCTTCTCTTTCCCCCCATCTCTCCCAAGCATTGAATTATTTTTTCACTGTCATTAAAATCAACACAGCAAAGCTGCTCTTTTCCAGGCAGTCTGTCCGGGCATTCAACAAGTGTAAGGAACTTTACGACCACTTCCTGACTCAGCATGAAGGAGCACATTTTGAAGAAAACACATAGTCCCCGACGAAAACCACATCCGCCCTAGATGAGAACATCAGCAGTCCCAGCAGTCCCCCGTTGAGCTGCGCCTACGCGTGAGACGGGTGGAGGGGAAACCACAGCGAGACAGATCGGCCCCTCGCCAGCACGACCACCATGGACACCCGGGCATGTGTGCACGGAGGACCACGGGGTGGCACCTACAACAACGAGCCCCGTGGAAATGGGTGGACAAACTGTGGGGACGGGGACTATAAAAAAGACAGACTGCATACTCCTTGGGAGAGGGAAACCAACTAGAAGAGGGGAACCAACTCGGAGCCAGGAACGTGGAGCATCATCGGACCGACAGAACATTGCCAGATCCCTGGTCGTGGTGGTGGTAATTAGTTGCGCCTCTACTGTGTTCTTGCTTAGGGATTCCAACCTTTTCCTTTCTTTTCCTCTCTGTCCTATCGCTCTAATTAGTTGTTATAGAAAATAAAGTTTATAAGGTTATGCAGCATCTGACCTCGTTTGTGTCTTAATCTCGCTCTTGGGATTGTTTAAAAACCCTCCCCGATATTGGATCGGGACAACAAGCGCCCCTATAGAAAGACCAGTTTCAACACCTGAAGATCCTACAGGTGGAAGGCAGGCATGCACTCAACAAAGTGACCATGCAGGACTGCACCTGCACCTGCATCTTATCTGTGCTTATAAATCAGCAGGAATTAACAGTTTTCTGCCGTGTCTATAGCCCTGGGGACTGCATCTGGGCACAATACCTTTTCTAGCACCAGTGTGTTCGGGGGGGAAAGCATGGACTAATGCCCTACCTGGAGCATCTTGAATTGCCTGTCCAGAAGGAAGGTCATTTTCATGATGGGACTTCTGGTGTGCTTCATTGTCACTGCTGGAGCCAGGGCAAAAAACATTTTGATTTTCTGAGCCAGTTCTGGCATGGATGAAAATGCAATGAACGCTGAGAAAACAGAAAAACAACCTGAGACTTGGTCTATCTTTCTTCAGGTGCTTAATCCAAGGGTTTGCTTCGACCCATTGCCCAGATCTGTTTAGCTGGCATTATCCCCTTAGAAATCTGGGATCTCTTGCCACCTTTCTGCTTCACATTAGTGCTAGAGATTTCCAAACTGAGACAACACCTTTATTCCTATTGTTAGAAGTGGCTGATGAGACTGATGGGAAGTCCAGGTGAAAGGAACAGTACTGTCATTTCCATCAGCCACTCCTGAAAGGTGTCATTGTCACAGAGGTTATCTTATACCCCTGATGGCCCAGCTGGTGAAAGAAGCACCATGCATTTCATCGGAAAGCAGAAGCTGTGAAGTCCATGCAGAATGCCTTTGGTTTTGATGTGGAACAATGCAATTCGGCTGTCTAGGTTGAATTATAGTTGCAGCAGAGAGCTCAGAGAGGTCACCAGGAGCTTTCTTACTACCCTAAGAGCCCACTGGGCCTCCCAGATGTCTTGTATGAAAACCATGGCTGTGTGGGACTTCTCACTGCATGACACTTTCCACCTAGCCTGTCTGCTTGGCAGCCCACAAAGACAGGACCTCTCTGCCTTCTGCTTACAAACACCAAAGTAAATATTTTCAAGACGGTCCAGGCAACCCCTTCTAACGCACCGATCGTGCAGCCCTGGGAGTAGCCAACATAATATATTTGCTTCTGCCCAGTCTTCTGCAGAACAAAGTTGATCATGGCTGGGAGGTCATACATTGCCATTTCATGGAAGCTGCAACACAGGAGCACTGTGTTAGTTATAAGGTAACACCAGGAGAGAAAACTTACCTGTGAATTTTGGCTATCTTGCATTGATTGTCTACTGAAGGGCTTAACATATATGACTGATTTTCCATGAGAAAATTCCTATGAGCTAGGAGAGCCCTGTGCTGAGTGAAACTGCACAGGGTCTGAAGCCATTCCTCCTGCCATGGCCTCATCCTTCCCTGAAAGGGCTTAGTCCTCCCATAACCATGGTTAGCAGTAAAGAACCTGTGCAGAGCCCAGCCAGCTGTGTGTCCAGGTGCAACACACAGCAGCTCGGCAGACCCAGAGCTGGCTCTCATCAGGATGACAGCATCAGCTCTGCTCCTAGAGCCACTCTTTCCCAGAAGGGAATGTGTGCTGGGTCTGTGTGTGTGGTGGGGATTTTGGTAGCAGGGGAGGGACTACAGCAGTGGCCCCTGTGAGAAGCTTCTCAAAGCTCCCCGGCTCCAAGTCAGACCCACCTCTGGCCAAGGCTGAGCCAATTGGCGATGGTGGCTGTGACTCTGGGATAACGTGTTTAAGAAGGGGAACCTGGGAGGAGGAGTGGGAGTAGTGAGGAGTTGTGAGGACACGTCTGCAAACACCGAGGTCAGGGGAAGGAAGGAGGGAGGTGGTGGTAGTGCGCAAGTGCATCCTCCCCTGCAGCCCGTGGGGGAGGGCAGAGCCACCCCCCTGCCACCATGGAGGTCACCGGGGGAGCAGATGCCCTCCTGCAGCCTGTGGAGGACCCCACGCCAGAGCAGGGGCTGTGACTGAAGAAGTTCGGAACTCTGTGGGAAGAAGGCCCCGCTGTTGCAGTTCAGCACTGGGAGGACAACGACACGTGGGAAGGGACCCATGCTGGAGCAGCTCAGGAACAACTGTGGCCTGTGGGAAGGACTCACATCGGAGAAAGTTTGTGGAGGACTGTGCTGTGAGAGGGACCCCACAGTGGAGCAAGGGAGGAGTGTGAGGAGTCCTCCCCTGAGGAGGAGGAGGAGAAACTGGCAGGACTAAGCACACTTCCCATTCCTTGCCTTCTGCACTGCTGTGGGTGAGGAGGTAGAGAAATCAGGAGTGAACCTGAGCCTGGGAAGAAGGAAGGAGAGGAAGAAAGGTGTTTTTAAGACGTGGTAATGCTTCTCACTGTCCCACTCTGTCTGTTAAGTAGCATTGTTGTTAGTGTTTGAATTAAAGTGATGTTCTTTTCCTTCCCCTAATGAATCTGTCTTTTTCTTTTGCCCAGTGACCATAATGGGTGAGTCATTACTCCCTGTCCTTATCTTGATTCCAGAGCCTTTTGCATTATTTCTCCTTCCCATTCCTGAGGGGGAAGGGTGAGCAGGTGTGTGGTACTCAGTTGCCCTCTGGGCTCAAACCACAACAGAATGGATCACCATTTCCTGCTCATGTACCCTTTAGTGTGATATGGTGAAACAGACCTACTTTATTAGGTTTTTCTTACTGGAAGCATGTTTATGAGCTTGGGAAATCCAGAACTTCTCTGAAGATCAGCTCTGGAGAGGCAGTAGCAGCTTAAAAAGCCATTCTTGGGGGCAAGGCTTTTGTGGACAACATCTAAAAGAAGGGCAGGTGGCAATGATGCTTGTGGACGCCTTGCTGGGGGGCTTGGCCCCTGCAGAAGCCCCAAGGTAGGGCTGCTGTCTCTGCAGGATAGGTGTCCCCACACAGGCAGCAATGCGCTGAGCTCTCGGCAGGGCCAGGCAGCAGCAGGGAGGTGTTTGCACCATGTCAGCAGGCAGGTCTGCACAGGTGCCTGCACCCACTTTGGGCACATCACCAGGAGGTCTGGGCGAGGCCCTACTCAGGGATTAGGCACTCTGACTTGCCTGCTTGGAGGCACCCACCTCTGCCTAGAGGTTAGTGACAGGCAGAGAAGTTTGCCGTGGTTTTCTAATCAGCTCCAGCCCACCTGAAATCCCAGAATTCAACCTGGTCAGCTGAAAGGTTCTGGTGTTTCCGGGACCAGCTTGTCCCTCGGCTGTTTCCCAGCCAGACATCATAGCCGGAGTCTGCTAGTATGAAGGCAAGGCTGTTGTTAGCCAGATTTTCCACCCATTGACTGCCTTCTCCAAGGAATCCATGCTGGAGAAACACGACTGGCTTGACCCCTGGATGTGAAAGAAACAACACATTTAATTGAACCAGAATATCTCTACTTAGTCATCCCAAATTCAGGCCAATAAATCCCCTTTCTTGCATCGTCAGAGGACATAAAATATGCATTTTAATGATGTTTTCTGGTGATGAAATCCTTCCCGTAGTTGTCTCATGGTGGTTGCCCTCATTGTCTTAAACTGGAGAGCTGCAGGTGTCCCTCCTAATCCTTTCAGGCCCCAGGTGCTCATCCCCGCAAGCTCAGTACCATGGCCACTGACAGCAACCATGTGAAAGCTCAGATGTACAGGCTCATCCCTGAGATTGTTCAAACCTGTCCTGGTTCAGCCAGGATAAAGTTTTCCCCAGCAGAGAGAGAGAGGGAAGGGATCTCCAGCCGGGTTATTCATACCATGCTGACGTCAGGTCCAGGGGTGGAGCCTTTTTACTTTCGCTTCTGGTGTTGGTTTTTGCCGTACACGCGGCGGGTTTGCTCCTTGATCATTTAGCGGTATTTCTCTGTATATCTTTTGTCTTGTTCACTGTTATTGCTGTTTATTGTTGTGACCATTGATACTGTTGTTATTCAGATTGTTCTATCACTCTGTTGTATTAAATTTCTTGTTATTTTAGCCGGGGTCTGTGTTTAACTTCCAGCCCGACCGGCGCGAGTGGGGGAGGGGCAACGGCAATGTGCTCTCCCATCCCAGCAAGGATTAAACCTTGCACAAACCCCAAAGTCACAGATTTATGGGAAAAAAATTAAAGGAGGACCTCTTTTAAGATATGCCACACCCTCTGAGCCTTTAAACCAAGTCTCTGCTTGATATGAAAGGTGGTTGCTATGCTGCACTCACACTTTCCTATGCTTACTGTTAAAGCCTTGACTGTAAATTGGTGAAGTACTGTAGATTCCATGGAATCCTAGCATGGTTTGGGTTGGAAGGGACCCTAAAGATCATCCAATTCCACCTCCCTGCCATGGGCAGGGACACCTTCCACTAGCCCAGGTTTCCCAAAGCCCCGTCCAACCTGGCCTTGAGCCCTGCCAGGGAGGGGGCAGCCACAGCTTCTCTGGGCAACCTGTGCCAGGGCCTCAACCCCCTCACAGGGAAGAATTTCTTCCTTAGATCTAATCTGAATCTCTCCTCTTTCAGTTTAAAACCATTGCCCCTCATCCTATCCCTACACCCTCTGATCAAGAGTCCCTCCCCCCGTTCCTGCAGCCCCTTTCAGCCCTGGGAGGCCGCTCTAAGGTCTCCCCGCAGCCTTCTCTTCTCCAGCTGAACCCCCCAACTCTCTCAGCCTGTCCTCACAGGGTGGGGCTCCAGCCCCTGAGCATCTTCACAGCCTCCTCTGGACCCACTCGAGCAGGTCTGTGTCCTTCTGATATTGGTGCCCCCAGAGCTGGACCCAGCACTGTAGGGGGGTCTGATGAGAGCAGAGCAGAGGGGGAGAATCACCCTGCTGCCCACACTGCTCTGGGTGCAGCCCAGCACACAGTTGGCTTTCTGGGCTGTGAGCGCACATTGGTGGCAATTCCTTCTCCACCAAGTGCTCCATCCATCAGATCCACACCTCCCCAACTTAGAGACAGGGATGTCATGGGGGACAAATGCTTTGCACCAGTCCAGGTAGATGATGTCAGTTGCTCTTCCCTTACCCACCAGTGCTGTAACCCCGTTGTAGAAGGCCACCAAATTCATCGGGTACGAATTGCCCTTAGTGAAGCCATGTTGGCTGTCACCAATCACCTACTTATTTTCCATGTGCTCCAGCAGAGTTTCCAGGAGGATCCACACCATGATCTTGCTGGGTACAGAGGTGAGACTGACTGGCCTGTAGTTCCTTGGGTCTTACTTTTTTCCCTTTTAAAAAATGAGGGTTATATTTTCCCTTTTCCAGTTAGTGGTAACTTTGCTGGACTGCCATGAGTTCTCAAATATGATGGACAGTGGCTGAGCCACTTCATCTGCCAATTCCCTCAGGACCCACAGATGCACCTCATCAGGTCCCATGGACTTGTGCACCTTCAGCTTCCTTAGATGGTCTCAGACATGAGCTTCTCCTTCAGTGGGTGGTTCTTCATTTTCCCAGTCCCCACCCTTGCATTCTGTGTCTGGGTCAGTGTGGCTGGAGCACTTGCCAGTGAACTGCGGCAAAGAAGTCACTGAGTACCTCAGCCTTCTCCATGTCCCAGGTAACCAGGGCTCCTGTTTCCTTCCAGAGAGGGCCCACATTTTCCCTAGTCTTCCTTTTGTCACCAACGTACTCATAGAAGCTTTTACTTGTTGCCCTTGATGTCCCTGGCCAGATTTAATTCTGTCAGGGCTTTAGCCTTCCTAACCTGACACCTAGCTCCCCAGAGAATTTATCTGTATTCGTCCCAGCTACCTGTCCTTGCTTCTTGCCTTCTGTAGGCTCCCTTTTTATGTTTGAGATGTCCAGGACATCCTTGTTCATCCATGCAGCCTCCTGGTGTTCTTACCTGACTTCCTTTTTGTTGGGATGCATCACTCCTGAGCTTGGAGGTGATCCTTGAATATTACCCAGCCTTCTTTGGCCCCTTTTCTCTCCAGGGATTTATCCCATGGTCCTCTGCCAAGCAGATCCCTGAAGAGGTCAAAATCTGCTCTCCTGAATTCCAGGGTAGCGAGCTTGCTGTGTGTCCTCCTTGCTGTCCTAAGGCTCTTGAACTCCACCATTTCATGGTCATGGAAGCCAAGGCTGCTCTTGAGCTTCACACTCCCAACCAGCCCCTCCTTGTTGGTGAGATCAAGGTTCAGCATAGCAGAACAAGGTCCAGCATATCAACAATAAATACTTTAGCTTTAACAGTAAATACTCCCCTGGCCTGATAAAATTCATCCCTATGTTAAGTTTTTTTTTTTTTTTTTTTTTTTTTTTTTTTTTTTTTTTTTTTTTTTTCTGGATTCCTTGTGAAATAGAGCCATACCTCTGTTCCTAGGATTTTCTCTCCCATGAGGAATTCTGTTCAGGCTGACGTAGTAGCCGTCATGAGTCAGGGCTTTATACTCCTCACTGGGGTACCCTCTGTGGCAGATCATTTGGCTCTGGGGAAAGAAAAACCCAGGTGGAAAGCTTTCTGTAGCTGAGATGCTCATTTAACTTGAAGACCACATCCCTCATCCACTGGAATGCCTTTGCCAAACCAAAAAACTGTGGCAGCTGGGACATTGTTTGCCTGGGGTGTCTGTGGACCAGATGAGGACTTTTAAAGAGAGAATGCTCTGTCCGAATCCCACACTTGTCCCAGTGAGACGCCCAAAGGAAGAGGAGACACTCAGCTGTGGTCTTGTGCCTGTGAGCAGGAGGGGTGCTGGAGGCAGCATGGCTCCCCTGCAGCACAGGCATTTGAAATGTTCCCAAAAATGAAGACTGAAACCAAAGGGATTTACTGACAGCTGACAATGGCAGCAGAGCATGTCACGTCACGCTCTGAGCTGATGTGCAGGGCAGATAAGATGTCAGGGCATATTGAACCTGCTGAGCTGGGTTGACTGGAAGAGCTATAGGACAAGTCCCATAGGATTTGCTTCAGAGCTCCTGAGGCTCTGCCCGAGCTCTACTTATGCTGAAAACTCCAGAGATTGGGAAGTTTCTGTCTGGTGAAATCCAGCTGTGATCCTGCCTACACATCACTGTATGCTCGCTTTGCCACACAGTTGGCAGAAGAGATTAATTTCATCAATTTTATTGCCCACATCTTGAGTCCATCTAAACCCACCTTCAAAGGATTTTCAGGACTCACCTGGACATAGCCCTGAGAAACTTGCTGCAGCTGAAGGAGGGGAGCCATGAACAACTTTCTACCCTCCAGGAAGAAGCCTGATCAAATCCAGGCTGGGATTACCCCCTTCTCTAGCTGACCCGCTGATACTTGCACTTAATACTGCCAGGAGGAAGAAGAGTCCTTCAGGAAACAGGGCTTGTTAATGATGGTAAGGAGGTAAAGTCATATCGCACTGCTCAACAAAACCAGCACGTGGTGACCTGAGCCCTCTACATATACATACCCTTCATCCCTCTCTCCCCCAGCTCAATGTCCACGGACTTTCAGAGTGGAAATTCAAAGCTCTGACTTACAACGTTCATGAACGTTTCAGGTTTTATAGCTTTTTTCTGCTCAATAGCATCTTCTGAGTTCGTGGGTGCTTGTATCAAAAACAGGATTGCAATAAACAGCCACATCTTGCATCTGTGTAAAATATTGTGGTTATTGTTATTGTTAATGTTGTTGTTGTTGTTATTATTATTATTGTTATTGTTATTATTGTTATTATACTATAGCATGGGCTGGGCTGGGGAAGCGGAGGGGATTGCCAGTTCCAGCTTCCATTACAGTCCACACAAGCCTCTTCATACTCCTCTGTACAAACTGGATCTGGTACTAGCTAAGACCCATTTTTATATGAAAAGAAACAGCTTTATAATGCAAGAATGAAAGCAACAGAAAATACTCTCAGGCCAGTTGTCACAGAGCAAATTAATCCAAAGTAAGAGTTTATGCTATGGAAGGAACACATTTAGGTTGTCTGGGCTATAACTACGTCTATACTTTTGCTGTTTCTCTGTTGCTTAGATTTTGCACCCAGAAGTCGCTATTAACAGAGGGAGCCTATGAACTGAAACTGGTAGAACCTCATAGGAAGACTGTTTATTAAATAAGTGTAGCCTGAAAAAAACAGAAATTTTTCTGATTGCCTTAGAGACTTCTGTCCTGAGCAGAGATTTATTTTTAATATACACAGTTAATATTATATATGATTTCTAATGCTTTGCCAGGATCTTAAAAGTTAGAGCTTAACTTCAATCCAGTAGCATGAGTTGCAAATTTTCTCATCAGTCATATGGTTACTCTCTACCTCTTCATCCTCCCAGTGGGTCTCCCACACCATGAGATGTATCTGCCCTTGGAAATATTCCCAATACCCCTCTCATTATATTATCAAGAGGCAAGTTACCAATAAAAAAAAGCAATCAATGCTTTTTACCCTGGGGATAGCTCCCACACAAATCTGAATTACGTGGAGAAAAATACATTACCAGTCAGAACCCACTGTCGTGTCTGATCAGGCTGGTGGTGTGAGTGGTGGTGGCTCTGTCAACAGCAGTATTAAAAAGAACACGTTGTGTCAGAACCATGCTACGTTGGCATCACACTGCACCACATCACGTGTCCTCCAATTAAGCGACGTGCACGCTAGTCATATCTTTAACTTCCTCTGCTTGACCATGTGGTCATGACTTTTGTGCTTGTAAAGGATTATGTTTCTAAAAGCAGCCAGAGCGACGCAGCGAGTAATTTCAGCTATGAAGTTGCACCTTGAGCTCATGATAGTCACGGTAAAAAAAAAAGTCACAAGATTTTCTTTGTAAAGGGTCATTTCCTAACTCCTGGGGGCCCTTGGGAGTACCTCTTAGAAGAGTTCTTGGGGCAATGAAAGGACTTGGGATCCACCAGCTTCACGAGGCCTCAAGAGCATGCCAACCTCTCCATAGACACACCAAGGACAGGTCAGGCTTCACAGACGGCCTGGATGAGAGACACTCAGTCATTATATAAAACCACTCTTCAAAAGTGACATTGGCCCAGGCAACCTCCACATAGGCCTTACATCCAAGTGGTATTGTATTTGCAACTGGCAGTTTGCAAAAACTCTTAAACATTTTCTGGAAAAGCACCAAGCTTAGCATCTTACCTATAGATGGCAGAGCGGAGGAGGGCTTGAGCAATGGCCTGCTTGTCTGAAGCGACAGGTATTGCACAGAGTAAAAGTGGTCATTCTCCACATCCAGCCCGTGACCTTACAACCTACGCCTTTCTGTAGCTGCTTGGTAGCCACCTAAAAGACCGAGCCTTCAGGTGTTCTGCTTGAGTATACACTTCCTGTTCATGAATTAAGTTGACTTCTAATATTCATACCAGCCATAGTCTATGAGCACTATGAGAGTTTTGAAACAAACCAAAACATACCTGTGTTACTCCATCTACCAGACTGTAATTTTCTGTCAGCGCAGCAACCACCAACACACAGGGACTCTGTGTGTGGGTGCTATCTTCCTGACAGCAGGTGTGACCAGAGCCGTCACTGTTTCGTTACCTTACTTCTGTCCCTGGGCTTCTGAAAATGTCTTCTCACTCCCATGATTGCAAAAATCCCACTAAGATGGATTTTACATTGTGTAGAGGACAATTCCAGTGTGCATCCCAAGAGGAGTTAAAAAGCACCGTATGGCTGGGGAAACCCCTACCCGACTTGTGTTTTTCTATTCTACCATCAGCTTTCCTTCAACAGCACCAAGACAGACCTCACCTTTTATTGTATGGTTGGCTGCTTCATCCACTATCAAGTCTGCTGTCTTCTACCTCCAATGAGTACTAGTTATCTAGCAGAGGATTAAGTACTAGTACTAGGTACTAACAGAGGTTGGAAACAGGCTATGGGAGCAGTGTATCAGTGCTGAGGCTAGTGTGGGATTTAGCACCAGTACCTATAAATCATAACGGTGGTAGGAAGAAGAGAAACTGCCAGCAAAGAGCAACTGGCTTTTTACTGAGAAGCTCATGTAGCTTAGTCAAAGGAAGAAATTAAGACCTTCGAGTTACTTGAAGTCAGGAGACCAGAGTTGGGTGTTTTGACACATAGATGCAAGTTTAGGTGGAAAGAGCAATACCACCACGATACTGCTGTGATTGTACACTTAACAGAATTGCAGATAGTCACTAATATTAACCTATCGTGTCAGGATCCCGTAATACATGGTAGGGTGCACAACCAAGTATTAGATAGCTATCATGGGCATCTTAAAATGAAGCTGTATAACCACAATCATAGGATGTTTTTACAGTATTGTTGTGGGAACTAACGTAAGAAAACTCAAGACTGTTTAGAAACAGAAAGCTATTTTATTCACCTTTCTAACCAAGCAGACTGTAGCAATCAGTGTTTGCATACACACATTCTCTGAAGGGCCAAAATGTGTGTATCTTGTGGTCTGGCCTGACTCAGTGGTCAGTAGAGTGTGACATGGAAGGCAAGGGTTGCCCGCTACTGAGTCCTTCATATGCCTTCTGGATTCTGTCTGAGGCTCAAAGGTCAACTCTTTCTTGACCTCTAAGGTCCTTTAGGAGTCAAAAGTTATTTATACTATGGCGTGATGTTTTCTTCTGCATCTGGTTAACTTCATGTGCCATAAATATTAGGCAACATTGCTGCTGGGTGTCTGTCATTTTCTTGTTTGAGGTATCATAAGACTATCCCATCCTGCTGTTGGGGTAACAGGAAGAGAAACAGCCCATGAGATGTGCTGTGTCCCCACTGCTGTCCTTCTGTTAACAGGTGCAGGTCTTCTGCTGATGAGTCACCTTCTCTGTGTCGCATCATGGTGCAAGCAACACATTCCTCAGTGTTTACCAGTTTGATTGGTGTTAATCATGTCCTTGGCTATCAATGCATGCTATTCCGCTAACTCCTGCTCTGGTGTTCCTCCTGGTGCTTTCACATATGTCCGAGCTGCCTAACTGTATGCCCAGGCTGCTGGTTGTTACCTTCTATCTGCTGCCTCTTGACAAGCTGGTCACAAACAGGGAGATGCTTAACTAATGGTCATCTAGTCTGGGCATCCTCAACTGGGAAAGAGGGTATCATTCTGGTTTTAGCAATAAGAGAGCATCAACTCTCATGTAATTTCTGCCAGATAAGCATGATTCCCTTGCAGTAACCTTGGAGAACCTTGCTCAAGTAAAGAACCTGATAAGGAAAGCAGTGCTTATCTGGTTGTACCTCTCCTAGCTTAAAGCCCCTCAGCTAGGCTGGGATACCTCCATCATCTCTGATTATACTTTTACTAGGGGTTTTACTCATTGTTGCATAGTGAAGCTTGATGAAACACCGAATTCTCTTCACACCACCTTGATAGAATTGTTCATGCAATCATTTTATTCACAGCAGTGAAACTGAATTAACAAAAGCATAAACATTTGTGAAATAACTGAGATGTGGTCAACAGTGGTTTGTCTCAGCTAATTCTCCCCCTGTTTCGTTGTTCAGAAGATCTCAGAACAACCCTGAATTTCTTGTACTTCTTCTCTGATCTCTCTTCATTGTACAATTGGTTAAAAGAGTTTGGTTTGTTCTTGAACAGACCTAGGCCAAATTCAGTAAACTTTCTCGATGAGAAAATACTAACATTTTTCAAATTTGATGTCATAGTCTCTTGGGCTTTATTCCTATGTATTGGAGGAAAGTTGATTGGGCTCAACTTAGTCAATGCCCTGGTCAGGGCTACCAGAGACCTTCAAGGAGCAGTAACATGTCCCACACGACATAGTCCAGGGTCAGGAACAAAGACCAACCCAGGCTTGTGAAGAGTGCTGGAGGTAGTTATATCTGATCATGATTTTGGCTAACCATAACATTCCATGGCCTTATAGCATTTCCATCTGCCTAAAGTACCAATATATGAAAATACAAATCTTGAAGACCAGTTACTGGGTCTCTCTTCCAAGCATTCATCTCAAAAGAAAGTTTGGAAATAACATAGGAAATAACACAGATATTGCTCATAGTCCCTGAAATAAGAAAGTGACGTGTCCTCAACTGAATAAAACTCTGAACTACTCAGCAGTGCCGGTGACTGCTGGAAACTGTTGTCAGGCTTGATGTTAAGGATTAAAAAACAATGAAAAAGCAGTACACCCTCTGAAATAACTGGATGGAACCTTATCCTAGATTAACCTGGGTACAAATCGGTTTCCAAATAACAGTGTAGGACAGTATGTTGCTTAAAGCAGACACCAAAGCAATCCTAGGGTTACTTACAGTAGTGCAACTTCACCTTAAGTATGTGCTTGTGCATAACACTCAAGCGGGAAGGACACTGTAGTAGACGTGCTCACCACCTCTCCAGTGTGGACACGGCCTGGAGCTGATCATATGCTCCACAGTTTATGCACATGCTGCCTTTTTTTTGCATTGACTGGAAGGATGATAGAAAATTAGGTCAGCACATGTGGTGCAGCTACTGTATTTTGAATGGGATGTGACACAGTTTTAAGTCCTTCTGGCTTTGTGTGTCATATTGCAAACAGATAAATAATGGCTTTGCATTAGCACATCTGGAAGAAAATTAAGTGGCTCAATGACCAACAGCCTCCACTTGTGTAGGCGTAAGACTGAGGTTGTTTTGTTCATGCACAGAGAGTAAAAAGGGAGCGGTGCTGTGCCACG